AATTAAGGCAAGACTGCTGAACTCTCAGCCTACACTAGCAAGAGTTTGCTCATGAGACCATTGCACTAAATTCTCCTGGTGGAGACAAAAGATACATTCTATTCCCCAGACAGCTTATAGTAGTTCCACAAAATGGGAAAAACTCTGCTCTGGAAAAGGGATGTTTTTGCCAGTATAACTCCATCTACACTAGGGCTTTACTAGAACAGTTATGTCAGTCAGGGTGTGACAAAAACATATTTACATGGTAAATAGAGCATTCAAGCAGCAGAGAAAAGCCCCTATACAAAACTTTCACAGAGGTCTATAGCCCTGATACTTGCTTGACAGGCACAGTGTACATTTATAATGAAGAAAACTAAACCATAAAAAAGTGTCATGTCATAAAAAGTTCTATAGAAGAATTATGAAGAGACAATATTCAAAAGCAAAGCAGCAAATGACCCTTTGTGAAGCAAAGGAAAGGCAGGAAATAGTTTTAAAGACTAATTCAGCTCCACTGAGGTGTTCTCTATTGACTTAAAAATCCAAAAGTAATTGACACTAAAAGTGAAAATAAAAGCATATCACTAAGACAGGGATATTGGATGGGTGTTAAGAGATACATATATCAGAACTGGATAGTATATTTAAATACATATATATCAGAAACGTTAAGTACAAACTGGATTGCAACTCACAAAAGGCACACGAGACAATAAGAAGAGGTTCTATAAATACAGAAGAAGGAAAAGAAACATACATGAAAGTACAGAACAATTAGCAATGAGGAAATAATGACATAAGATGAAACCAACAAAGGTGATTTTGATTTCTTCTTTGCTTATATTCCCCGTACCCCCAAGAGTTAACTGTAAGTAGAGAGCAAGGAACAGGACCGGGAAAAGAACAGACCTATCATTTAATCCTCACTCATTTACTAAGCCATAATATATTAAACAGTTTAAGAGAACATTAGAAATAATGCATGAGTGGACAATATAGATAGCAGCTATACCAAACACGAGTTAAAACCTCATTTTTTTTCCTATCAACTCAGTGCTGATAGGAAATATCAAAACTCCTCAGAAATAAGAAAGTACAGATAGAAAGAAATCAATCAAAACTTTCCTGAGTCAAGGTCAGAAAGCCGGCTTCCTCATCAGTAGCTAATACAGAATGAGATAACCTTACATGAAAAGTGAAAAAAGTGTCCAATGAACAGATGGGCTTATCTTACACAGGCTAAGATTATTTACCTTACACAGCTTAAGAAAATTTAATGTTGGCAGTGAGACGAAAAGCAAGGATTTTGGTCCTGTTGGACAGCATTGCTTTCACACTAAGTTTGCATTCATGCTGAGCTTCTCATCTGTGTATCCAACCTTCTATTACAATCAATTGAGACCCTATTCAATTCATGGGATGCCTGCGTGGACACAGGTGCCTACTGCCCCTGGAGATGCCCTAGGGTTTCCCACCACTTCCAGCTGCTGGCCTAGACGGGTACTGATCCCCAAAGGTCCTGTGTGATATCTGCCATGTCATGCAAATATCCTGGCACATCAAATGGCACATGTTGCCTATTAAATGTTAACTCTCCATTCCCTGTAAGTGCAGGACAAGCCCTTTGCTCACAGGTAGACATATAATGGAGACAGTACATT